TCGTCGCAAGAGAAAGAGTGGTTGGCCTAGTATGGAGCAAATCAAGGCCGTGAAAGAACTTGGCTGTCATTTTGTCCCAGTTGCCAATCCTGCTGATCGAGAATGCCGAACCGAATGGAGGATCTCTTTTGTTTTAGCTGAGCGTCATCTTGCCTTGTCGTTTAATCAAGTTCAGCGCCATGTTTACCGTATCATAAAACTGATACACAAACACCGACTAGGAGAATCCAGCGCACTTTCTTCCTACCACCTGAAGACAACGCTGTTCTGGTTGTGCGAGCGTTTTCCACCGGATATGTGGACAAACGAAGAGATGGGGCAACGTTTCTACGACTTCTATGATCTCTTGCTTGATTTTCTCCACAAGAAGTGCATCCCAAACTACTTCGTACGAGAAAACAACATGATTGACTACCTGGATGAAGAAGTTGTAAGCGACATCGTTCACATTTTGCATACCATCATTGAGAATCCTAAAGCAACCCTAGCGGAAATCCAAACAAAGTATGACATTCATTTTAATTTTATTAATCACACGTTTACAAATCGGGTTTTTCAAGATGTCTTTAGAGCCAATCTACAGTTGATGGTCGACTCACCAGATGTCTTGGACAGTGTCATGGGGGCCACCGGGGGAGCAGTAGACGCTTCTCTAAACAATGACTCGGAAAACCCCTTACTATTAGAAACAGAAGAAGAAAAGAGGCTAGCAAAACGTGTCATGAAAGACATATGCAAGAAGGGATTAGCATGGCTATCCAATTCAGCAGACGGTGTGGATATCATTGAAGAATTACGTGATTTTGCGATGGATGCTTTAACTTTAACAGGAGATGGTGATGAATTAGGCTTAGCAGAGGATCCGTCGAACAAGGAGTTACTTGTGAAAACCATTAGCCTGCTGACGGCATTGGACTTAGGATTTAAACAAAGACCAGCAGATGAACACGCCGACGATCAGGAAGCAGGGTCAAGAAAACTATCGTACCCAACACACGACCAGCATAATGCAGGAAGAGAGGCACTTGACTCCCATGATGAATACCAAAGAGCAACTTCTGGTGATAAAAAGAACCGGTACTTAGATCTTTTCAAATTATTTGTAGATACGATAGAGAGATGTGACTTAGAACTGGAACAAACACGAGGAGATGAACATGCCAACGATCAGGAAGCAGCGTCAGGAGAAACATCGTACCTAGGAAACGACGAATTCGATGACCGGCATTATGCAAAAAGAGAATCATCTGACTCCCTCGATGAGGACCAGAGTGCATCTGGTAATAAAAAGAACCGGTTGTTAGGGAAACGTGCTGGTCAGTTAGAGGAATTAGACTTAGACTAGACATAAAGACCAGCAAAGGAACATGCTGACGACCAGGACGCATCCTTTAGAAAACAGTTCGATTTGATCGCAGGACGATTCTGACCACGATGATGAAGAACCGTCAACAAAAATAGTACTTTATGAACGATGATGATGCCGATCAAACGGCAACTGCAAATATAGTTTTGATTTATAAATAGGCATGTTATTACAGTTATTGTTATAATTTTCACTACTATAATTATTATTATTATTATTGTTAAGTGTGTTTTTAGTTTAGTCGATATTAAATTGAAATGTTTAGAGAGTATATAGTGCAGAAAGCTACAAGTCACCGATTATACCACTTGTGGTGGTCAGAACATACTGGAGAGGAGAGAAGACCACTCGTGACTTCTGGTTGAGACGAGCTGGGGGCAATCCCACTTGTAAATTTTCTTCAGCTTTGTTGGCAAGCCAAATTCTTTGTTTATATCTTAATTTTGAACTCTGTGATTATCTCGCAGTGTTGCTTCAAACGTGTTAGTCATTTTCTATTTTTTTCTTCCTTTTTTATTCATCATACCTACTAATATCATATTGTATTAATCTGATGAAGACGCCCCTTCAGGAAAACTTCTCACTATAACAGACATGGGACATGATGACAAACAAGACCTTATCACAAAAACAGTTCTGTCAACAGAACTTAGCAGAACCTTTTTTGTATAAAAGATACTCAAATTAGTACAAACTGATGGAAGTAGTCGCTTTCTTCCCCAAAATTATCACCCGAACAAACAGATTGCAAATATATAATTATTTCGTCCTTTCACTCTGATGGCAACTAGAATCAGATGTCAAATGCCAGGCGAAATGGAGAAATCCAAACCACTTCATAACATAGGTGGCGTATCTGTGTTTTATTTTTTTAAAGACACTCTATTGTGTAAATAGATGCTTCAAAAGAATTGTACAGTATACCAAATGTAAAAATAAATGTGAAAAGGACATAGGGATTATGGCTAAGAAATGGAAATTTCCACCTGAGAATTTCATGAAGATATTTCATTGCACTACACAAAAACCTGTAAATAATTGAAAAACTTTGAAAAGAATCAAATTGTGAAAAGGTTGTACAATCATGAGATTCAAGAAACATAGGTGTCACGATTATTCTAGTTAAGGTACTATATTTTTCATATCTTATTTTTATTTTTTTAGAAAAGATTTGAAGCTTATTAATACCTTTATGTACACCTTGTATTTTATTTGTAAAGTGTACAAAACATAGTGGATTTTATATTTAAGTTTTATGATGATGATGATGATGTGGAGTAAAGGGTAACTCCCATGATAAGGTTAAAAGAAATGACCTTGTTCAAAAATATCAAAATGGGGGATTGAAAGAGATCAGCGCAAACGGTTTTTGCAGTAAAGTGGGTCGCTCGATTATGGTTTCCTGGTAATGGATACTAAGAGAAGATACCTACATATATGTATGAGAATTTAAGGAAAATATTCAAGTGTATATAGGTAACAATATTATTCAAGAGAAAATTGTCAATTTGGACTGCTGTAGCGACTTTTACAAAAGCTTTTATAGATATGTGTCACAGCCATATCTTAATACTGTAATGTAAAGATGAATCACATTTTAAGATAAAGATTGAGATTAATTATGTAGGCGATATAGTTCAAGATCTAGAGACTACTTGTACTTACATAAGAAGAAATATCACAGGTGGTGGTCATCATATCCAAGTGTTTATAATGTTTAACAATATCATTCCAGAGAATATGGCGAATTCAGACTCTATACAAAGAACTTTTAAAGATGTGTTATCTTAAATATGTAATGTAAAGATGCATCAAAATTTAGGATAAAGAATTGGATTAATTATGTAGCTAGGCGATTTTGTTCAAGAAAAAGAGACTACATATATATATATAAGAGGAAATATCACAGATGGTGGGACAGGTGGTGTGATATATACCATGTCCATTTCTTTATTCAATGTTTAAAATTTCAATAATATGGAAACTAATCAATTGGCAGCAACTTAGTAAAGGGGTTAATAGGCTTAACAAATTACTGCTATATTATGATAATTATGTTCATACATATGGTTTCCCTATATGAAAATAGAGAGAAAACAACTGGAAGTGAGGTATTAGTTGCTGTTAGTTGTTCGACCAGTATAACATAATGCTTTATTTTTAATTGAATAAAGTTGAATTTGGTGAATAAATTTGAGTAAAAACATGTCCCTACTGTTTTTTTTTTTTTTTTTTTTTTTTTTGTTCTTCTATCAGATAACATACTATATATGATACCGGTAATAATTATTGCTTTACTAGATTAAATTATTTTAGTACTATTTTAAGGAACAAAGCGTGCGCCTTTTAATTATTTAATTTATTATTATTCTAATTATTACTATTATTATTTTAAAGTACAGGAACCTTCAATGTATCTAAGGACATAATAATTTGTAACAGAAAAATTCCATGATTATATAACTTATTAAATATTATTATTAAATAACTTATCACCACTTCAGTGAGGCACAGCTGCACTTCCTGTCAATGTTTGATTACATGACCATATCCAGCAAGAAATACAAATAAATCTCATAATGACTCACTATGACAACAACAACAAACCTTCCCAAGTGCACGCAATCGTCACGTGCTCTGCGTGCCGGCATAAATATAGTAGAAGACACAATTGTTCTCATAACGCAAATGACACCATAATGACATGATTAAATGCAAAGTGAGCGAATTGTTTTATCAAAATGCAAAAGTTTATATGTAATAAGAATATATTTGATTTGTGCCGTTCTAAAACCTCCCTAGATAAAATGCAGTTCTAGGTTTAGGCCTAAATCCGATTAGATCAAACTATTGCGATTCAAAATCTTGCACGGAAGCTCAAAATGGCCAGAGACAATTTTAATTAAATAATTAACTTCTAACCAAACACTGAGGGCGTTCGGACACAGTTTTTCTGATATCTCAAAAGGGTCGACATTGGATACTTTGTTTGACGTATTGTATCATCTAAAACTCTCTGCATTGGTAATGATAAGTAACTGTGGAGGATATTTAGATATAAAGTTTTGATTTTGGGACATTTTTCAAACGTAGAATACGTAGTAAATAGTCCCTGGTACGGTAACTCTCTGTGGTTCAAGGTGCGACGATTTGATTTACAGCGCATCATACGAATATGTCTGTGTTTCCGCTTGCTTCGGATCCGGGTTAAGTCGGCTATATAAGCTGGCGCATTAGTTCATTTCCCTATCCAGTTTGTAAACAAGAATCTGCTCAATACAGTTATTACAATGGGAAGCAAGTTGCTGTTAGTTGTAACTATTGCGCTGTTGCTGGTGAGTAGAAAACGGGGTCTGATATTGATAATGACTTTGTTGTCGCAACCAACCGCCTATAGCTAATGAAGAGTAAGCAACTTAATTCGTTTGGCTTTTAAAAAACAGTAAAATATCACAGTTATCTTATTTCGTACAGAGAGTGTGCAATTAAATAAAAATGTAGTTGCGATATCCGTTTTAGTATGCCAAATCCAGAGAAAACATATTTTCAACAGTGCTGTTTATAAAAAGCATCCATGTGTCATATTCCAGGGCGCAGTGTCATGTGGACCAGCAGGTGGAGGAAGACCTGGGCCGCCTGGCGGGGGCTACTGTCAAATAACACCACCCGGGTCACCACTGCCTTGTGAAGCCAAAATTGTAAGTGTCCCTAAATTCGCTAGAGCATTAAAATCAAATTGAAAAATATTTTAATTCTGGAATTTTCTAAACTTTTCTGTTAACTATCAGGGAATATCCAAAACCGATGAATCAATAAGTAGTCGCCAGAAAGTTATTAAATACGAGAAAAACTCAAATGTGAGTTTCAGAGCCTTCTTTTGGACGTTTATCAAAGTTCCTGTTTATACAGACACTGAAAGTGTCTGCTAATATTCTGATCACCATGTTGTCGCCATCATTGCCCAAAACATGTTGTTCACCCCGTTAATGTCAAATGACATATTTGCTTAAATTCCACTTTAATGATTGGCTATTTTTGGTACAATGCAGTTTTTTTTTACAATGACCTGTTTCTGTCTGTCAGTGGCACCATTTATTTTTGCCCACCTCTTTATTGCCAAACCATGTTTTTGTTTCACTTTTTTTCGCTGAGTGACTTGTATGTTGATAAAACAGGAGTCAGGAGTATGTGAAAATCAGCATAATCAGATACTTTTTTATAAAGTTATTGATTTTTTTCTTTTTATTGTCTGCATATATGCTTTTTTAGCCTTGCTGAATTCAGGGAGGGTGGAGGACTGAGATCATCAAACCCCGTGACGGATATGGCACTCACTGCTAGAGAGATAGTAAGTTGTCCAAATTGACACCAGCCTGTGGAAGACATGATTTGAAGTTTTTGACTGAACATTTTCAAAATAATTTATATCCTCATTATATATTTGAATACATAAAAGTATTCTAGCGTATAACATATCCTGACTTTATATCAGACCATAGTCTGATAATTAACCATACAGTGGCGAATTTAGGGGGGTGTCAGTTGGATCCTGACCGTCGCCCCCCCCCCCTTCGATTTCTAAAAAAAAACACACCCATTTTGACTAGCTGTATCACAGTTCTAAACTTTGCCAAATGGCACCGTTTCCCCTCTAAAAGACCAAAAATTTTGGGGCCTTTCACCGGGCCCCAAACCCCACGCCAAGAGGGGGAGGGTCGTCTTCGCATCTGCAGACCCCCCCCCCTCTCTCTTCAAATAACCCTGTCTCTGCTCGTCATATCAAATCGTGGTTTGACTAGCACTGATTAAAGGTAAAGTAACAATTGTCTCGGTTCTGGCGTATTTATTCGAAGGGAATGCAATCTTTATCGAAATGGAAATGTTTAATTAAAAAAAACCAGTTTACAAAGGTTTACGAATTAAGGTTGACCTACCCTTCTACCAGGGTATGTGCATGTGTGTATTTGTATATGATCGCCTCTGCGGAGGATATGGACAAGGGTCTGTTTATTAACTGATAAAACTAAATGAAGTAAACACCCCATTGCGCTCTGTCAGCTGATCATTGCATCTGATTATCCAAATATTTGATAAAGCTAAAACATGCTCTGTAGCATATATGTAACTCAGGGGGCGGGGCAGTATCGTCATGGACCTTGGAATTTGCCACCTATACGTGTCGATCAATTTATATTCCTAAACCACCATGATCGAAGACGCTCTCTGTAGTTATTTCGTTTGGCTTTTTTCGTGCATGTAAGGTAAGAATTTGAACAATAGTCGAGCACACTGCCAACTCGCTTTTTCAATGTAAACTCATGTGCTGTTATAAGCGAATTCTGACGTTATAAGGTAAGTACATGTCAAAATAAAATATTGACTTTGCCTTTCATCGGAGGGGTTTGATGTGTGAATTGAAATATATATACATGTATATCATGATTATCAAGTTCTCGGTTAAGATAAGTAATGCTGCTTATGAGCACACATTATAAACAATGTGCTTGAAAATCAAAATCAAAACATAACATAATGTAGATAGATGCGGGTCTGACAGACAGACAGACTAATATCCAGTAACAGTGTAGAGAAGGGATGGTGCTTATTATCAATAAGGGATTGAGACAGAAATGGAAGACGTTCCTGCTAAGCACACATTACAAACGATGTGCCTGGAAATTTAAAAAAGGGCGTGATTTTTTACTTGCATATTTTCTACAAATGTAGGCCTACTTTCTTGAGGCCGGCCCACTTTTATATATTTTCTTTTGTTTGTTTATATATTTATTATTTTTTTGAAGGGTTACTGACAATCAGTGGAATACCACACCTTAACCGGTCACTAGCCGACCCAAGGCTACATAAATTGGTGTCTAGGCTTTCTGTGAAAAAAAAACTCGCTAGACGAACATTTATTACAGCTTTGTAGACTCTGTGTTTGATAATTATAATTATTATATGATTATTGAATTATTAAAGATGCCGACGTCTGACACGGCTCTAATGTGGTCCCCAATATCAAATTCAATGACAGACACAGTGCTAAAAAAATAAAGACATACATTTAGTCTGGCCGGTAAACGCTAGATACAATGCGTGCAGTAATGCCTATGTAATTGTATGTCATTACCAGCATTAAATACAAACAGCTATCGAAGGGACTCGATCACACACACAACAACAACATCAAACTTTTCCAATCGTGCGCTATTGTCGACTGCCCTGCGTGCTGGAATACATATATCAATTTCAGTGCCCATGCGTAGTTAATCGTTATCTCCCCTAGCTATTGCTCAATTGTCCTTAGCGGGGTACACTCGATTGGAGCCCCGCCATCGCGCATCTGGATAAGCTAACCCATTCTTAGCGCAGACAGCGGCTCCATCAGACGTATTTACGCAGGAAGCAGAAGATTCAGGAAGATCTGAAAAAGACGTAGAGAAAAGTCAACTTTTACATGTAAGATCTGAGGCTGGGGGTAATTTTTTAATTACAAAAGGGTATTTGTGGGTGGCATCTCACTTTCTTTATGATGGTCATACCTTTTATAAGTAAAAACACTTTTATATTTTCCGTAAAGCTCTGTGAAACCAGCGCTTTGAAATGACTCAGTCGTTTCACTGGACGTAAATTAACTGCCTTGTTTTCCAATTACGTATTTTGAAATATAAGTGCGTTGCGAAGAACTATTTCCATGACAGTTGGATAGTTAGATTTTTTTTTTTTTTTTTGCCAACACACACGCATATTGCATTCTTAAAAAAACAAGGCTGTATTCTAATACAAACTATGATAATAAAAATTCGCCTAACAAAAGGAAAAAAATGTAAGTAAATTGTCTGATGGTCACAGACACGTAAAGCAGAGGGATTAAAAAGGAAATTTGTTAAAAAAAGGCTAGAAAAACAGAAAAATTGTCAGAAAATTTTACCTTACCCAAGTACTTGATGCAATAGGAAACAGGGTTTTCTGTTGCTGACCGACAAATTTACAAAAAAGAGAAAGTCCTCTATATTGGGTTTGGGTCGTTGTACAAATTAAACTTTAGGACTCTCACGCGTATTACATTTTATTTGAAAGCAAGATTGTACTCTTACACTAGCTATGACATTGATGAGTGCATAAAAAGTAAAATAAACCGTTTGAAGGTCACTGTTATGCATAGCAAAGGGGTTGACGAAAATGAAATTATACAAATTATAGAAAAGCATAACTTAGAAGTTATCTTACGGGGGTGCAATGATTTTCACTTTCACTGTGATAAATTATCTACCTATATAAAGACAACCTCGGACGTAAAGTTCTCTGGGTACCACCCTATAAGGTAATATATATCACTTTATTCACTTATTTATGTGACATGGTTCGTGTTTTCCGGTAGTTGGAAGATTAGGGAAAGCGTTAACTTTTAAAGAAACCCTCGCCCCTATTCTAGAATAGGCTAGAACTATTCCCCCATCTGCGAATCTTACTGAAAATCGGCCAAGATCTCGTTAGTCGTCTTTGCTCGAACTATCTGCACTCAAGATATTTGATTTGCCTGTTTAAGAAAACGCCCCTCCTTGACAAAGTTATGATAAAAACTGTTGGAACTTTGGGATAATGCCATGAGTTTGTCAAGTGACGAGTCAAAATTATCTTAGTAAGGAGTGTTTAACTGCTAATTGAAGATTAAATTAACAAAATAATAATAATAATAATATACACACTAGACTTCACATGTGTCTCGTTTTGTTTACCGAACCTGTAAAAGTATATCAATAATGCTTTTTTTTTTTTTTTTTTTTTGTATTTTTGGCGTTCAATTCTCAATATAAAAGCCTTGTGCCATCTTACGTCCACACTACCTTCACATTCTCACATTGTATAGCCTCATCTTTTGCCATGCAATTCCTTTGGGCTTGCAGTTAAATTGTTTGATTGGAGTGCGGTAAAACAATATACATGCACATGAAGGCCTTTGAGGACTTTTTTAGACCCGAATGAAGTAGAACGTTTTCTGTAGCACAATAAGAAAAGCAGTATGAGGCCCGACAAATATTGTTCGTAAAATATTTCTAACTACAACCTACTCTTTTTCCAGATAACAGCCTTTTCTCCGATTGCTCCAGCCATATCAACATATGTGCCTGCATCTCCCTTACATCACCCAGCCTCTATAGTCATTTTGACGAACTCTTGCATATAAGGTAAGTTGTTTTAATGAGCAATGCATATCTATCAAATGCACATCTTGTCCCCGTAACTCGAAAGCATCGTTCATTGCGAACAGCGATATCACATGGAGGCTACATTGTATTATATGGGTCGAGTATGGCGAGTTTTGGAATCGAGACGCTTGCGCTCGGTCGCAATGCGCGATCCTTTTGAGTAACGGGGCCCAGATATCCCATGTGGTGTTTTGTGGTAGTTATAACATTGAACACATGTTATAGATGATCAGTAAGCCAACCCTTTTTTTATGTACAGACACAGATGTGTCTGTACATATAGCCATCATCTGCGTCTGTCGTCGCCGTCGTCGCCGTCATCGCCGTGCACTTTTACCGATAACACGATAAGTGGAAAACCATTTTACCTTTTGACTTGAAACTTGCAGAACTGATGAATATTCATAATACGCAGGTCAAGTTCGAAAATCAGCATGATCGGGTCACTTTTAGGGAATTTATGCTGTTTTTTCACTTTTTTCAGCATATATGCAGCACC